ATAAAATGCTTGAAAAATAAATGTAGTATCGTTCCATGATTTATCTATGAATATCTCATGACCTTCTATCTTACTTTTTTCCTCAACTCATATGAACTTGTAAAAAACGTTCATTATTGCAAAACTGCTATCCAAATAACTGTACAAATTTTCAATTATGATGTAAAATCTTTCATAATTTTGTTTATTAAAAACAAATTTTTTTTTCTTTATTGATTAATTCGCTATGATTAAATTAACTGTATGATACCATTAAAATATTTTTGTCTAATTTATGTTTTATTTTTAGGAAAAATAGTTTCTATTGTTTAACATTGTTTACTGTGGGTTACCTTGCAAAGGAAAACAACGAAAAAAAAAATGCGCAGAACGTAAATGTGTACAAAAAAGAAACCTATAATAGAATCAAAGCAAAAACAACATCAGAAAAAGAAGAGCAAAAAAAAATGTTCATGTCTTTTGCATATATTATCAATCAAATACTAAAAGTGTTTCATGGTGATATATAATTATCATACAAATAGTCACATAAAAGACGTACAGAAATAATGGTGTAGATGTGCACTATTAATTGCAAAACACTGATACAAACTTTTAAACTGAAAGTAAGAATATTAATTAATAAACACTAAAAATAAAAATGTATTAAATTTAGTTAAATATATTTATATAGAAATTTCTCGACTACCTAAAAAATCTTGACTTTGAAAATATTTGTTTTTTAATGATGTAATTATAAGAATCAATGGATATAATAAACTTAAATTTATTTTCTTAATATTTCTCACAATATTTCTCACAATATTTTTAAATTCTTTTTCTCTTAGACAAAATGTTTATTTTTTTGACATACATCTGACATTATATACACGGAAGAAGTACACAACGAAAATGGTGAGCGCGCATTCACAATAAAAACACGAATTACAATCACAAAAACATACATTGCTTGTGCTGCTAATACTAAACAAAAAAACAAAACATCAACGGATTAATAAAGGGCTCATAGTTATTTGCATAATAGTGAAACAGACGAGAAAGAAAGAACGAAAAAAAATGAGAAAAAAAGAAAAGTTATTTTATGTACGTGCATACGTGAGCAGATTAAATACAATAAAAGAGAAAAAAAAAGCAAAAAAATATATTTAAGAAATCACACCCTTCTTTCTGTTTTTGTGTTCATTGACAAAATAGTAAAAATCAAACAGAATGTTTCTTTATAATCAATTGATATGAATATTACACCAAAAAAATGGAATAATTACGAAATTTAACCTAAAATTAATAAAAAAGACTTGATTAAAACATGAATGATTGCCATAATAGAAAAATATTTCAAAGTCTAAAATATACTGACACTACCAATGGAAAATGTAATGACAGCTAAGTAGTCCAAAATTCAACGATTTGTAATCTACTCCAGGGCTCTGAATGGGTTGGGCTAGGCCGAGAAAAGTTGGTCCATGGACTATCTCGCCCTTTATCGGCCTAGCCCGTGGCTTTTAGTTCATAAACTTCTCCAGCGCAGCTAGATCCATGGGCCGACTGACTGGCCCATCTAATAAAAGATTTTTCCCGAACACAGTCTCATTTACCATACTGATCAAGGCTACTTATCATTTACTCTTCTATTCCATAAGGACCAATAACAAAGCAGAATAAGGCACTTTAAAAGAGTAAATTTGTCACATCGTTCTCACGCGGTCTCTGGTAGAAAAATGTCAGTTTTTCTATACATCAACTCTTGGGCAGAGAACTCCTTCCCGTGGGTGCCCATTACAATAGGTAGTGGTCCAGCCTGTTCCATGGTTCTGGTTGTGTAAAAAACTTGATCCATGATAGACCATGGGTTGGGCTGGCTTTAACCCGGCCCATTCGGAGCCCTGATCTACTCTCCCAAAATTCATATCTTTTTTCAAATTGAAAATCACAAAGAAGACGTTCAAATTGTAGTCTTCTACTTCAATGTCGATTAATCAATACAATATTTCAAATCTATTTATTCTAAAATTGATTCGTTTACAGATGACAAATACTTACGTTATCTTTTGAAACCTAACCATCCGGCAACCATGCTCACCAAAATAATGAGAGCAATTACAACACAGATGATGATAATGATTTTTTTCTAAAATAGTCATATAAAACAAAATGTCACTTGATTATTCTGTAGTTAACTATTTGATGTCTAGAATAAGCCCATTTGAGAGTGAGAATAAATCTAGTCTAATTACTTGATTTATGTTTATTTAAAATGCTCAAAAACTTTTATCTAGATCCTGTAAAACAACGTTTTTCTCCTTAGACGTCGATATAAAGAACTTTTTAGCTAAGCTATTTCTTTTTTTTTACCTCAATAAGAGCAAATCGGTTTGTCATTCTAGTATAATAATAAAAAAAGCAAACAAACTTACATGCAACAGAACACCAAACAGACTACATTGATAACAAAAACGTCAAATGCCAACATTGTACAGAATAAATAATTGTGATAAACATACATTACAAACAAGACATACAAATATCACAATAAATTGATATGGTCAATTTAAAAAAATGTGTTTAGTTATATTTTTCTGTTTCTTTTTTAGCAATAAAAGATTTTTTTTGTTTCAAATAAAATAAATAAAGTCAAAATTTAAGATAAGACTGATATTTTTCGAAATGATAAAAAGATTTTCAGCATTTTCTATTTTACACTAACAAGTGTTTGATATCATCTGTCTATCGAATTAGTATCTATGATAAAGATAGTAGTAATTGCTAATAATATTATTGATACAAAGATTATTATACATAATAGATAACAGTTTTTTTTCTAAACATAAATTGAAAAAAAGAGCTACTGTTTTATTTCTCTTTAAACTACCGTCTTTTGATTTTATAAAAGATTTTATAAAACAGTGATGAGTTCTGTATACATTTTTTAAGATAAGATTAATTTTTATTATTAGATAAACAAAAAAAAAACTAGAGAATTTTCAAATAAATAGAACAATTTTTAAAAAATAGATAGAAGTCAAGAAAAACAAACAATTAATGGTAAACTTGTTCTTAGTATGCCATACAATCGGTAACAAGAAGTAAGAATAATCGAGATTATTTGAATGTTTCTCACGAGAAATCAAATGAAATTCGATACGAAAATGTTGTGAAAAAAGATTAAGAGAAATTTTTTGTTTTTTAAGCGTTTTTTATTTCTGATACAAATAGTAAGACATTTTTCTTTTGTTGTTGTTAAGCTCGTATAATTTAACGGATCATAAAGTATAGAATCCGAATAGTTAATCGTTTTCTATTTATCATTGTTAGAAAAAAAGTTAAATGTATAATTTGTTTTTTTAATCTACTCTAACTCAGCAACGATGAACGTTAACTGTAAAGATGTTTAGTAGTTGTTAAACTGCTAGCTAAATATATTATTGTCGAAAGAGAGAAAGAGAAATGGTCATGCAAGAAAAATAACAACAACAACAACAACAGCTAAATACAAAAGAATGATGCATTCGTTATTTTAACATAATAATAATCACAATAACAAAGACAATAGCCGTGCATGCTATCTCATAAATATTGATTTCTAAAGGAAAATAACATCAAACAAATGTTTTACTGAGAGATGTATTTGTGAATGAGAAAAAAATGTATGGCTGCAATATGGCATAGATTTTCATACGTCATTGCTTATAGAAGAATTATTAATATATGTGTATATTTTTGTTTAAACGAATCACAATTCAAATAACAATATTGGTGATAACAAAAGAAGAAAACAAAAAAAGCTAGTAAAACAACGTGAAACCGAATGTACATAGCAAAAACGAAAGTATGAATGAATTATGAGAATAATAAATAGTAGCAAACATATTTGATTCGAATTATGAAATGACATAAGCAGTTATAGTCAAAAATAAAGAAAATATTCATTTTTTCGTTCGATTAATAAAATAATTAATATGTGTAAAGAGCAAGAGAGAGAGAGAGAGAGAGAGAAAGAAAAAGAGAGAACATTGAAAATGAACGGTTTTTAATCATCCAGTAGTACGGTGAACTCTTTACATTAAACGAATAGAGAGGTTAAATTATTACTGGTGACAAATCGATAAATACCTGTACTAAACTATAGATTTTTGTTATCGAGACTTATTCTCATTTTTAACACACACACACACAAAAAATGAACATTACAATCTTAACAAAATATTATAGTTAAAAAACAAAGAAAAGAGCGTGATACAAACAAGAAAATGAGAAAGAATATTGGAAAAATTATTTATTTATTACTCTTATCGATAATGAAAAACAGATGTAAAAAAAAAGACGAAAAGTACTCATCACCTTCGACCAAATATTGCTGCCAGAATAATGATGAGAATCGCAATAACTGCAACAACAATTATAATAATAATTATAAACTTCTGCAAGAAAAATAACAAAAATTAAGCAAGAATATTGGTTTTTTTCACAATGTAAAAATATGAACGAGATAAAATAACTGATGCTGACACTATTAAAACTAGATCCAAACTCTTTCTACCGTCACTATCTGCTTCTCATGGGCAAATGATACTCTGAATACTGAACACTATAAAAGTGTAAAATTAAAAAGAAATATGGTGCTCGAGCCATGCGATTTGAAGAATTTCTAAAGATTAATTTTCTTGCATTCTAAAGTGATTATTATTAAATTCTATAAGGCAAGCGCTTTGTTTTTTTTTTTTGTTTTTGTTTTTGTTTTTGAAAGAATTATTTTCTTTCACCAAAGAGAAGAACATAACATATTTTCCAAAATCATGCAGTTAGTCAAAAAAAAATTTCCCCTACGCCATTATTGGACAGGCGCCTATATAAAAAAAAAAATTGTACAAAAAATAAACTGTTAAAATATAATTCAAATTTGATAACAAGATTATGTTCAAATTTTTCGTATTAAGCTCAATTATTTACTGATAATGATCCGTCACCGGCTTTGGTTACTGTTCATAATATGAAATGGTTGTCTATGATTTCTTTTGTGTTGTAAAATAAATAACGAGAATTAATACGATAATAAGTATAACAACGATTACAATTATTATGATTATAATCATTTTCTAAAAAAATATCAATAGAAATATTTAAAAAATTCAAAAAATACTCTTTTTATGTTATCAAAACGTGTATAATAAATAGTTTAGTAGGTTAATTGAAAGAGAAATAAACACACAAACAAACAAAAAAGAGAAAATCTAATCTGCTTTGTTAGAAATTTGATATTTTTCATCCATTATTTTTGATAGTAGAAGAATGTTATCATAATAAAGAATTTTATGGTCAAATAATGTTATAAAAGAATATAAAAACTCACAATAATTATTTAAAATAAATTTATTAATTAAAAAACACGAATATTATTTTTTAGGAAGTGTAGTGGATAATACAATAACTAATATAAGTACCAAAATAGTAATACAAATAATTATAATACAAATTTTCTTCTGAAGAATAAAATAAAAGAAAATAAATAAAAATATTTTTTGTTGTAGAGTAAAGATAACAAGATAGAGCAGCAGCCATAATGTTGATTTTAAATAATAAAAAAGATTCATAATTGATAATAATTTTAGAATATTGTGACTTCATAATCAAAAGGACGTAAAATTCGATTTTTATACACAAATTATAAGAAAATTTAGTAGAAAAGCATATTAGAAGTAGCAAAATGATGTTAATACAGCCATAGCATTTTTTTTTAGTCATTTATAAAATGTGAGAATGTATATAACCTACATGCTTTAAAAATAAACAGTGTCTTATTTGTGCACAACACAAAGCAAACATACACACACACACACACACACAAAGGTGCAATAAAACAGCTGTTAAAGAACAATAACTGAACTTACCCGTCTAGCAGCACTCTGATATTTCACTGCTTTCTTAGTATCAGTACTAGCGATTTTAACAAAATTTTCGGATTGTATAACCTAAAATCATTTTATGATAAAAAACTATCTTAAATGAGTAAATAATACGTACGTTATACTCAATACGATCGATCATTTCACCCTAAATAAATATCAATAAAAAAAATACAGTAAATCAAAAAGGTTATAATAATTTTTCATCCTTTACCTGAGTTTGAACAAGGTTAGCCATATCAATAAACATATCATGTAATTCTTTAATACTATTTTCTAATTTAATAATATCACGATGACGTGCTTCTATATCTGCTAAACTTTGCTTAGCTTGTTGTGTTTCAACCATAATCTAATCAAAGATGATAAATGTCAAATGTGAAAATAAAAATATAAAAGTAAACATCATACTCCTGCAGTAAAAATTGCCGGATTTCCACTTTCTAACATTTCTTCCACTTCACCTTCGGTTATTGAGCGTCCAGCTACAAATTAATGATTTATTCATAGATACAGCAAAAAACACACACAATAATATGGAGTTATAGTTAATTGGTTACTATGTTTTGATTTTACTTACTAATTTCTAGCTGCCTCATTATTCTTTCTTTGCATCGCTGTCGATAACTTAGAATGGTATTGTTATATTCATTCATTATATCACGAAATCTTTGGGTCATAACACATAACTAAGCAGATTTTTTTGAAAACAAACAACATGTACAAAACAACATTAAAGAAAAGAAAGATGGCTCGATCTGTAACATTATGTTATTTCGATTAGAGACTAGTTCCAATCGGTATAAACAACAGCATAATGTTATCCATCGAGCCAATTAAAGTATAAATATTAAAGAATATTAAAAGAAGAAGAAAACAAAACAACAAGGTTAAGTTTGTCATGAGCATTCACCTATTTCTAATCACTTTAAATCATCTGTACTTTATACTACCAACATAACCAAAGAAATATCTCGATATTCCATCCTAACTGATACATCATTTTCTGAGCTAATACATCATTTTCTGAACTAATACATCCTGTTTTCGCTAAAATATTTCCGACAGAAGTTGTTTAGAATATACTGTTGAATTCACAGTTCAGAAATATTATTCATTCTGCTGAGGATTGTTTATATGTTTGCATATTTTAAAAATAAATATCTCTATCCAGAAGCAAACTGTCAATTTCCTTAAATTAAGAAACTTGCCTTTTGACATTTTTAAACTAACCGATGGTAGAAGCCAAATGCTCACATATTTAGATAAATTTAACTTCGGACTCTGTCTATCGAATGATTGCCGGAAAAAACTTAAAAATGGTCTTCACTGCAAACTCAATCATATCTCAAACAATATTTTTTGATATTCTATTCAGTAAACATAGTCACAAAGGGAAACTACAATTTACAACAAATCTAACACTAACACAAAACAACAACTGATAATGAGCATAAAACTGCACTTAAGATATTCTTCTCTAACTCACTGATTTCTAGCTGACGTTGTATTCGCGCTTTGCAACGTTCACGATATTCGATTTGTGCATTATTATACGCATTCATGACGTCGATAAATTTCCTTGATAATGTAGCGTGCTAAAAATATTCGAAATTGTAAATTATTCTGAAGACGAAAAAAAACGTCTATAATGGTAATCATATCTAGTAATTTCAACAAAAAACAAAAATAAAACAACATATAAAGCACATATTTCGTTCTGGGAGAAGAATAGCAATGCTCATAGAACAAAATTCGAAAAATAGTTGAAATAAATTATGTTTTCTTCTTCTTTGCTTAAGTTCCGTCTCACTCATTACCTGTGACTTTTCAATTCTGAGTGCCGCCTGTGTTTTTAATGGTGACGACTGAGCTGGTTGTTCTTGGCTTTGTTCCATTTCTGAATAGCAAAATAGATGCAAAAAAAAACTGAAATATGTGATCTCTTTATGATTTAAAAAGTGAAAATTTGCCCAATGTAAAATGCTGGTAAAAACATTAACAGTTACAATAAGCATTCTTCAGTCGTGAATATCTCAAATATAAAAAGCTACCGTTAAATAGTTATCTTGTATAGTGCACGATTGTACACTGGCATGTTGAAATATCTAGACTTTTTTTGGTTGACTAAATAAGATGATTTCTCAAAAGGAAGGTTTTAGGGTTTTAGGATCAGGCCTTACTTAAATGCTACTACAATAAACTATGCACGAGACAAGAACAACATCAACTACAATAGGTATCTCTAAGATGAACGGAGCACCTGTGTTTTTCTAATACGTATATCAGCTGATCGCCAGACATTTTCTTGTCCCTCTGATTCTATATCAGTTTCCATGGCTGAAAACAAAAATCAGTTCTTACTTGTTTACAAACAATCATAAAAAAACAAATCCGTAACGTACTTTTCAGCCGTTGTCGTACTTCATTAGCTATCTTCTTAATTTCAGCCATTTTTTCTTCAAGTTCTTCTTTAGTTCCTATAAACGCAAACAAAAACAAAACAAGCGTTTTTATTTATAATGAGTTATACACGTACGATCATCAGCTTGGGGAGCAGCCAATATTGTGCTGTGTAAACGTTTCACTTCTTCAACAAGTTCATTAATTTTGTCAATATTGGTACGTAAAGAATCAACCTTAAACAAGAAAATATTAGCATATTTCTGGTCAATTTCGTTTTTTTTCGACAGAACAGACTAAAGATTTATGTTCTTTTATTAACACGTTCTAATATTATGATATCCATTGAAGAATTTTTATTGCTCTATATTCTGGCGCACTTTATTAACGTCGATGAAGCTAGTTCTTGAGAAAAATTTAATAAAAATTATCTAATAAACAAACCTGAGTAAAAAAATCGGACATAAAACGACTGTTATCTTCCATATTAATAGCAGCATAAGCGCCTTCTTGATCACTGTCTTCAGTGTTCTGCGCCTAAAAAAAGAAAAAAACATGTGAGATTTATATTCATACCCCAAAAAACAGATAGTCTTAAAGCAAATCTCATCACAATAAAGATGTATCCAACATGAACAATCAAGAAACTCAAATGCATATGACCTTTATTACTATAGATGGATTATACTATTTTCAAGAACTGTACAAGAAAACTATATCCAATTCTTCGTCCTATAGAACCAAAGGAAGGTAGTAAATTTAATTCTAAAAAAAAAATTCGATACGTACTGCTTTGAGCGCGGGTAAGCGATCTTTGGTCATTGTTTTCTTAAGATTTTAAATATAATTAACTAGATTTGTCAAAATCATACGGATTCTTAATTTGTTGGTTCCATAATCATATTCTCTTTTTTATCGTATATATGTCTGAAAAATGTATTTACCAATATTAATAATCAAGCTTTCACACGGGAATCAATTTCAGACAGGAAAGAATACGATTTTTATTATTATTATTATATATTAATCATAGGATGTAGAGTATGTCAATGACTCACCCTTAAAAAATCACGGATCCATCACAATTCTCTTATTTTTATCTAATAAGAAAGAGTGCATGGTCTATAAGTGGGGAATGCACTTACACACGCGTTATAATAAACGAGAAAATGATAGGTTTATTATTATCTACTAAAATTACACTAGTATTCAGATAGAGATAAACATACGTCTAAGATATAATACACCTCTATTGACATATGCTTCTCATTTTGTATCGTATTCTGGCTCTCTACAGAAGAAAGATCCGTATCGAATGTAATCAATCGCCACATAACTCACTCATTTTTTGACCAACTTAAATATTTCTTTGAGCATTCGATTTGCAAGACCTTTTTCTATTCACAAATGTGAAAAAGTACAAGACTTCCACAGTGGAATCCTGCAATGGACTCGATTAAAGTCTACATGCTTGATGTTTGACGAGAAAATAAAGATGTTGGCTTTAATCGTGTCCGTCGCAGGGTTCCACTGTGGAAGTCTTGTACTTTTTCACATTTGTAAATAGAAAAAGGTCTTGCAAATCGAATGCTCAAAGAATTATTTAATTTGGTCAAAAAATGAATGAGTTATGAGCGACTGACTATACAAAATATTTTTCATACTTCTCTTTTCATTCTTTTTCTCTGCAGAGAGCCAGAATACGACAAATGTCAATAGATCTAGATGTATATCTCTATCTGAATGCTAGAGATCTAGTCATTAACTGACTGGTAAAGTTAATTTTTATTGATATACATAACTTAACACATGTAGAAAGTAGAAATAAGTATGAAATAGCTTGACTCTCTAGATGAAAGGGAAATTATGATGAACTACATTTCGTTTTTGTTGGGTATGCGAATGATCAGTTCTATTCTTGGAGTATCTGGTATTGGATGATCGTTAAAAAGAGCACTTCAGTCAATGACCGTCAACCTAAGATTAAGATATATTGCGTTGTCCTGAGAATTTTGAAGGAGATTGAGATGAAAAACTGTGTTAAGACAGTGAATCTTTTTCACCGTTAACGAATCATCGACTTCCCGATTTAGAACGATGTATACATATTTAATAGATTGCTCAATTCTTTAAACAATCATAAAAAACTTGTAGTAATTTTGAAAAATGAACTGTTCTGGATGATGTTTGCTTTTTATATGAAGTTTATTATTAGATTTATAAGTCAAGTTTCGGAAATAATCAAACTCGATTAAACATGGCTACATCACAGAAAAAGACAATAAAACGGGTTTTTGTTGTTGGTGTCGGTATGACAAAGGTGAGTAAAACAAGAGATTCTTCGCCTAACATTATTCTTGGGGTTTTTTGTTTTTTGAAGAAATAAACTCGATTAATTCAATATCTTTTCAAGACTTTGTAATTTATGACTATGTAAAGAGATTTAAAGTAGATAACATTCGCTTTCTTTTTTCAGTTTGAAAAACCTGGCCGACGAGAAAATTTCGACTATCCAGACATGGCTAAAGAATCTGGTTTGTCTGCTCTATTTAAATTAGTGGATTTGTCAATATTTTTATTTTAAAGTGACGAAAGCATTGAGAGATGCAAATTTATCTTATAATAATATTGAAGAAGCAGCAGTTGGATACGTTTATGGTAAGATAAAATATTTTTGTAGAAAGACAAATAGAAATAATTATCATTTTGTTTAGGTGATAGTACATGTGGACAACGTGCACTTTATCCCATCGGACTTACTGGAATACCAATTTTTAATGTGAATAACAATTGTTCAACAGGTTCATCAGCATTATTGCTGGCAGCGCGTCATATTCAAGGAGGTATGAATATAAAAAAGGAGTATAATTTTAATAATTTGACACTTCTCATTATATTGTATTCTTATTTAGGTTTAGTCGACTGTGCCTTGGCTCTTGGATTTGAGAAAATGCAACGTGGCTCATTATCATCACAGGTAAGTTTATCAGTTTCTGATTAGATAAAAAGAATTATTTTTTTTTTTTTTCCTCATTTACTTTATTGTAGTTTTCTGATAGAACAAATCCAATGGATAGACATATTGAAGTCATGACAGAACGATATGAATTTGATGCAGCTCCACCAGCTTCACAATTATTTGGCAATGCTGGACGAGACTATATGCAAAAATATGGTTAGTGTTATTCACTTTTGTACGGGAAACTTCAATTTTAATATCAGATAAAAATGACGATTAAACGAGTACCTTTTAAATAAAGTTCTCTTTTGAAAAATATTAAATACAAGTCAATAATTACAAACATATATTATCTTTCTAGGAACATCACCAGATGTTTTGGCAAAAATAGCTGAAAAAAACCATAGACATAGCAAAAATAATCCGTACGTATATCAATACGTTTCTTCTTTTCAATCAGTTGATATTTTATCAGTCTAATTTATAAAGAATAATATTTTTTGATTTTAGTTATTCGCAATTTCGAGAAGAATATTCATTAGATGAAATCAAAAATTCACCAGTGGTATACGAACCATTAACAAAATTACAATGTTGGTAAAAATATCATCTTTGTTCAAGTCGGACAAAATTCTGTCGTATCTCTGTTTACTATAGCCCAACATCGGATGGAAGTGCGGCAGTTATTTTAGCAAGTGAAGAATTTATTAGAAAACACCCACATCTTCGGTTGAAAGCTATCGAGATATTAGCTATTGAAATGTCAACAGATCTATCCTCCACATTTGACTCTAAGGATTGCATGCGTCTGGTATGTTGGATTAGGCCTATGGTGTAAGATTAACTTTTCCATTGAACTTTTTCTACTAGGTTGGATATGATATGACTAAAGCAGCTGCTGAACACGCATTTTCACAAGCTGGTATGTTTATTCTTAATAGTATAACTTTAACGAATTAACTAATACTTGTTTTAGGAGTAAAGCCAACCGATGTTCATGTCGTCGAATTGCACGGTATATAATCTTCTCAGAAAATATATTTTAATTTAGCATATTTTGTTTCCATTTTTAGACTGTTTTTCAGCAAATGAACTTATCACATATGAAGCACTGGGTTTATGCAATGAAGGTTAGTAGATTACAAATTTTGTTTTTTAGAGATTTTGATGTATATCTAGAAACTGACTCAAAATACATTTCTTACTCGTTAATTTACACAATTTTATTCATCAGATTTTTATTTTTGTTTTAGGAAAAGCTGGAGAAATGGTTGAGAAAGGCGACAATACATATGGAGGAAAGTATGTGGTGAATCCTAGTGGTGGTCTAATATCAAAGGGACACCCATTGGGAGCAACTGGTAAGGATATGAATAAGATATTTAAAAACTGACTTCATTGACAATTTTATACTATTTTTGAAGGATTAGCACAATGCTGTGAATTGTGTTGGCAATTACGAAATGAAGCAGATAAAAGACAAGTAAAAAATGCAAAAATTGGTCTTCAACATAATATTGGACTTGGGGGTGCAGCTGTTGTTGCAGTATATAAACGTGCTTTTGAAGATGATAATAAGTAAATACTCTGAAACTATCGATTTGAAAAAAATAATTACTTATAATGTCACTGTATTTTTGTTTTTTTTAGAACTCATGTGAATTCAAAACTCTGAATAGAAACAATAAATGGCAATAGTATATGTTGTAAGCATTTTGAATATCTGAAGAATGATTTTATTCACTATGTTTTCTATTAAATTATTTATACTATGTTTTGGTAATTTTATATTATATCATTCGATGTTATTTGATTATCTTTTTTTTATATAATTATATTTTCTTAAATAAATTTAAAAGTCACATATACTCTCTATTAACCATTTTTGATTAAAATAAATCAGAGATGGGCAAGTTCAAATCCGAACTTGAACTTTTTAATAAAGTCACTTGAAGTCAAAACAGTTAAAATCTATCACATTCAACAGCGAAACGGATAGAATTTGATATCTAATTTAATCTTTTTTTTGTCTAATATACATAAAATTTATTTACTCGTCGTATATGAGTATGATCTACCTACTGCATAGCATAGAAACCACTATGAACTTGAACTTGACAAAAAACAAATTTCTGTTGAACATCGAAATGGTCGAACTTGCCCATCTCTACAGCAAATATAGACTGCCTCATTACTAGTATTTTGAGACTCGACATGTAATCAGTGAACCACTTTAGACGACTAATAGACGTTCGTCGACAATCATTTTCCAATAAACAGTTTAGTTTTTCTTCACTGATTTATTTATTATGAAACTGTAGTTAATGCTTTTTATTTATCATTTTTCATATTGACTGTTTTTGAAATTTCATAAACAATGTCTATATCCATTTGGTGAATAATGTTATATATACTACCTTTAAAACTACGTATGTTAGTTATTTTTTAAAAATACAGATAAATGACACTGTTGAAAATAAAATTTGTTTATACTAAATAAAACTGAAAAGGAATGGGGAGTATCATTGATATAAAATAGCACAAATAATTTTCATGAACAAACTGATAGAAGAAAGACGTTTGATTCACAACACATAAAATAGTTTTTATATCGGTGTTAGTCATGAAAAGTTAGTCATGGAAAGTTGAAGAAAATCTTCACAGAATTAGTTATATAAAAATAATAATAATAAAAAAACATTTAATTTTTTGCATAAAAATTAGAAATACTGACCATTATAAAATAGAGTTAAGAAAAATCTCGTTTATAACTTGAATAACAAGAAAACGAACTACTCTAAACTTTGCTTCTTAATAGATAAAAATAATCTGTAATGAGATGAAATTTAGAATAGGAAATAGGTACTACAGTAATGAAAAGATTATATTAAAATAAATATATTGAGAATAGATAGATAGATAGATATTTACATTGATATATATGATGTATGGCTATCGTTTTGATCCGAATATAGATGCCAATACAATTATAATTATTAGAAGAATTGCGATAACGATAACAATGACACCTATCGTTTTCTATGAATAACATAAAACCAAAATTATAAAACTGTTCTTACTACTCAAATTATTACAACAAAACATATATAATTTACCTGTCTTGCTTTTTTACCATCTTCAGCTTTTTTTACTTCGTTTTTGCCCTTTATAACCCAATCAGTGGATTTCTTAGTATTATATTCAATAGAATCGATCATAGTACCCTAGTTTGAAAAGTAAAATACTTATTCATTTTTGAATCGTCAGAAAATTTTCTCTCTCTTAAATTTTATACCTGAGTTTGAATAAGTGCAGCTATTTCATGAAACATTTCGTTTACTTCTATGAGACTTTTTTCTATTTTAACAAATTCACGATGACGTGCTTCTATATCAGCTAAATTTTGTTTGGCTTCTTGTGTTTCAACCATAATCTCTCATCAACAAAAAAAGATATTTTAAATGAACAATGTAATATATAAAATATCATTCTTACGCCTTCAGAAAATCCATTAAAATTTCCACTTGTCAACATTTCATCAAGTTGAGCCTCGCTTTTTGTACGACCAGCTAGAAAAATAAAAATAAAATTTGTATGAATGTATATTAATGACTACCCTAGTAAAAGTCCTATGAGTTGCCTGACAGGATCCGAGACATATCCTGTCAGTATTCTACTAGGGTTTCACTTTAATTTCTTAGAATCCTAACAAAATTCTACAGAATCCTAATGAAATCAGGTATATCCGAAAGTCATAGGATTTTCTAAGATTCTATTAGGATCTTAAACAACCTTAAGCAATATTCTAGTAGGATCCTGTTAGAAAGCTATTAGGTAGATCCTGTAAGATCCTCGTAAGACATAGACAGGAAGTGTGTAGGATTTTGACTAGAGTATATAATTTCCTTGACCCTTCATAGCATAGTTTAAGGATAACATCATCATCTCCTCCATTGTAATCTTGTTGGCAAACGTGGAAGAAAAATTCGATCAGCTATAAATTTATACCAAAAATAGAATATCGCAAAAGAAAATCGATGTATTTTTGCTTAGAACTTTACTGGAGAACTCTAGTATTCATCCAATCACATTACAATTCCTCAAAAAAAATAATCTGATGAAGGTGAATTTTTATCACAAATACGTCAGACCTCATATCAAGCTGTAAATTTTTTCAAAAAATTGTTGTTTCAAAAATTGTAAAAATGTTTTACTTCTTGAGATTTTCGAAAACTACTGAAATCTGCTGTCTAAAATCTCGGTGTTGAATTTAAAAAGTCTTTCAGCACTGAAATTTGAAATTGACAACGCTTAAAAAGTATTTAAAACTTGAGATAAGGTATGAAGTATCTGTGATAAAAATTTCAGTTTTATCGGACCATTTTTTTTGAGAAGTCGCAATGTGACTGGATGAATACTAGAGTTCTCCAGTAAACTCATAGAAAAATTTGACTCAAAGTTTTGAATAAAAATACATTAATTTTCTCTTTCGATATTCTATTTTTGATATAAATTTATAGCCAATTGAACTTTTCCTTCAACGTTTGCCAACAAGTTTACAAAACAGCACGATATCCTTTGAAAAATCGATATTCTGCTATTTTCATGCATATAATTATCGCTAAATGTATGAAACAAAATTCTTGTATTTGCTTACTAATTTCTAACTGACGTATTAGTCGAATTTTACATCGATCTCGATAATTTAGCTGAATTCTGTTATATTCATTAATTGCATCATGAAACTTTCGTTGCGTCGTAAATAACTGAATACGTAAGTAAGATAAATCGCTTTTAAAATAAAAGATATTAATATATTATCGAATTATTTTACACCTGCAATTCTTCGATTCTCAAATGAACATTTAGTGTCTGATGAGGAAGTTGAGATTCTTTGTGACTTTGTTCCATGACTAAGTTGAAAAAAATAAAAAATTATTGAAAATATGAATATTTTGAGAGAAATATCATACTTTTCAACTTAATTCGGACATCGTCTGAAATCTTTTTAATTTCATCCATTTTCTGTTCCAATTCCTGTTTCGTCTCTAAAAAAGTGAGAAAAAGACCAGACAAGTTTTATCTCTTTTTATTAATAATAACTTACGAACGTCGACGTACTTTGATCTGTTTCTATATTTAACGTTATATTTTGTAATTGTTTTACTTCTTCGACAAGAGCCTTAATTTTATCAATATGTATTTGTATGGGTTTAATCTGAAAATAAAATTTTGATATGTGAATAACAAATATTCCTAACTGTTCAGATATAGATTTTTTTGCGGAATAGGAAAAGTAAACTAAATAAAATATCTTATTACTTGCGAAATAAGACGTGTATGTATACTTATTGTTCTCAAAGTCAAAGATGTCAACTAACCTGAGCCAAAAAGTCAGATATTGTCTGTTCCATATTGAGCACCGTATGATGTGTGGTTTCTGTATCACTGTCATCAACATTTTGTCTCTAAATGAAGAAAATCTAGAAATGTAGATCATTGCACATTGATCAAATGAGGTTAAAGTGAGTGAGAACTATTTTTTTTAGAAAACTGTGACAAAAAAAAAGCAATTGAATTTAATTTTAAAAAAAATGCGTGTGAGAAAAACAATGTGCAATTCTGATTAGCTAAAAATCATTCGTATAAAATTGTATAATCAATTAACCATAAATGATATCATGTTATTAGAATACAACAAGCAAAAAGATTTATTGTTAAACAGTTTTACTTTATGAGTAAGTCTTCTATATATGACGTGTTCACGATCGTTGCCATCTGGTTTCTAAAAGTATTTGATTGGAGAATAAAAACAATAATATCGAAAGAAAGAAACAAACAGCGATTAAAATATATCATGTTTTATGAGTGTAACTGGAAGAATAATTTATATTTGTGTAATAAAATTGCAAAACTTACTTCTAATTTTAAGGAAGGTAAACGATCTTTCGGCATCGCATGAAACTTTTATTGCACACACGCTTTTCTTAATTTCAAGTTATAATAACTAATACCAATCCATAAATGTTTAATTTTACCACAATGCTGAACTTTAGTTCTTATAAAAACTATATTTTATCCTTTATTAAATATTCGAAGTATCAGAAAAAAATTCCAAGTCGCTTTATTACTCAATTATAATTACAAATGAATATTTACCTCCATTCACGGTGAATCACTCTATGTTCATTTAATAATCCTTTTTTTACCTCCCTATGTGCGTAAAATTCAATATAGATGTCTCTGCAACGAAAGAGCTGCACACCTGAGATTATTAGTCTCACGTGACAGTACTTAACATAGATATCCAAGTATCTAGATAATGCAACGCCTAGCAGATAACGATATGTTATTGCACATGTTGTTATATGGGGAATAAAGAATGCGATTAAAAAATATGGGAAATAAGAAAATAAGGATAGTAAGAAAACATATGTGTTAACTAACATTTTGAATTTATAACATAAGTTGTTATTAGGAATTATTCTCAGTTTTTTTAATAGCTCTTGCACGCGGGCGGCGATATGGCAGCATGAGAGATTAAAACTCTAGATTCGGCCTGGACTGAAATCCCTTAATCATTGATTTCCCTATTTCGTTAGATCCTTATTTTCTTATTTCCCCTATTTCCTTTAATTCTTATGTGTCCTATTTCCTTAGATCCTTACCATAGCTTGGAAAATACCCAGTCGCCGAGAATCTGATTTTGTAAAGAATAAATTCGTATTCGCTGGGAATTCATTTCGGTATGCAACGGATGATCATAATGCGTTTTGATGTATATGGTGTAGTTGCGAATTCTCTATTATTTTCTGACTGGCTCAGGCCACTATATAGATTTCTTATGATGTTTAGTTATATGTATTCAAACAGTCAGATGCTGATAGCCCCTAAATTTTTTATTTATGTATTTCAGCTGGGTTTTCTATGCCCGCATATTTTCGAAGAGTTTATTTAATCCATATCTTTCTAACCATATACCTCACCTTCGAAGTGGAGGGGGGCGGGGGGGGAGATGCTATGAGAGTGAGCCACGATCGTTACCTGACCTGGATGGTGACCTGCACTAGTATCTGTTTCGAAATACAACGTATTCAGTTGTTTTCTGAATAACTTTTGTTAGAAAAGAGACAAAAACTTCCGGTTTTGCCAACTCAGCAGTCAAACTTATTTCATTTATTATAAGAACGTTGTTAAGTTAGTTAGGAGCACCGATTATCTATGTATTCTGTGTTTCTGAGAATGTCAGACCAGAAGATAGTCCAATGCTGGTGGTTCGGGAAAAACCGTAGTCTGCAAAACCAATCAAAACTAAAAAGTCGCTCGGATCTCATTCTGTAGAAGACACTTCGGACTATTTGTCTATGTAAAATAATCAATAGATTGCTACTTACATTCCTGGAAACCCGAGGCGATTTTCAGAAGATCAGATGGAAAACCGGCCTTTAAAATTTTTTCAAAACTAGTTTTTCCTTGCAAAAGCATGTCTTAAAGCCGCGGCTATATAATGCTGAAAACCGCAGGCTATTATCTCTTTTCTAACAAAAGGTATTCTAAAACAACCGAGTACGTTGTATTTTGTAACGAATAGTAAGCAAAAAATAATAGACAATTCGCAATCGATTCTGACTTGAGCTAGTGAGAGAAAAAAATAAACATTGTGAGTCTATATATATTGGCTATAGCCAGTATGAAGACATGTTGGGTACCAAAATAGTAAAGAATAACTCAGTTCTCCGCGAATGCGAATTTTCCATCATCTCATCCTTACTTTCTTATTTCCCTTAGCGTGTCTTTTCTAACTTGGCGTGAAAACAAGATTGCACATGATTCTCTCAAAGAAAACATTCGCCTAGCCACAAAAAAAATTAAGAAAATAATAAGCCAGTAGTACCAGAAGTAGAGAAATCAATTTATAAAATGAAGAATTATCAACACCATTTTATTTTTAAACATAATTTGACGTTTCTTTCTATTAACTTCTTCAGACACATAGACAAATAGTGAAACTATACATCGAAATAGAAAATACTTATAAACACATGCGGACGAAAAAGAATGAAAACGTTTTCATAAAAATAAAACGCTGTTAAATGCGTAAATAGTTGACTAGTTCGAGGCGCATAACTTACAAGTCACAGTAGAAAATAAGTACGAATTTTCTTAAATTCTTATTTCCTTAAATCCTTATTTTCTTATTTTCTTATTTCCTTAAATGCTTATTTTCTTGTTTTCTTATTTCCTTAAATTCTTAAATTGGATAGCTCTCGTACTTAAAGTGCTGTCAAAATAGTTTGCACGATAACTATCGTGCTTCATTGTACGCCAAACACACGAAGAGAGTTGTAGAGTCCTGCGGGACAAACTTTTCTGTTGCTCCGAGCCCGTAAGCCGGAGCCCGTGAGCAAATAATGTTGTCCCGAACCCGTCTGTCCTGTGAAAAAAATTTATGGGTTTTTTTTGCCCCGTCCCGTTTGTCCCGTAATTTTTTGAAAAAGTTTTTCTGCTGTGATAAACCGGAACTATTACAAGCGACGCTTAAAGTCTCAAACTCAGTTTTGCAAAAAATCAAGCCTATTTTATTTGGGTCTCCAGGTTAATTTTTATTAGTTATTGTAAAATTACGGTTTTCACGTGATAGTACTGGTTGGCCCAGAACAAATGGCCCTCCTCGTATTTTGCATATAATTTCTTTTCTTTTCAATCCTTAGACCTGATCGTTTTTCCAAAAGATGCGCCGTCGAATTCTCTACAAGACTTGATCAAACTTATTTCTATACCAAGTTGAGGAGAAAAATGAAATGAAGAATACTCAATATGATGAAAAGGACCAACTTTCTAAGCTGAAATAACGTTTTGTTCCACCACTTTCATTGAGTTGTATGATGAAAAGAAGAGAATACACGCATTTTGTAGCCATTGAAAAGCTCTATCAACCAGTATTAGATGCACAATGCAAAATCAATCTTGCAACTAAAATAGTGCCTTTCTAGCTCGGTCTTTTTTTATTTCGATGAGAAATGATACTTGTGCCAGATTCAGCTGCGAAAGTTACCTTAAAGCGTTCTTGATAAATTCACCTGCCGAGCAATAGCAGATTTTGGTCATCTTGAGGTGAGTTTTGGACTGTCAGATTTTTCAGTGCTAACTTAGATTTGAACGACTGTGAATTGCATAAGGAGAAAGAGCGTACTTTAAAGTACTCAAAAATATCTTCAGTTTTGTTTCATTGTCTTTAGTCTTGTTTAAAATATTCCAAAATTTGTAAAACAAAATAGCTTACGAGGGAACACCCCCAGGTGTCCCGCTCCGATTTCGTTCATTCATACATCATTCGATAGGGGACCTCGAGTAGGTAAAAAGCCTAAAAGGATTTCGGCCGACGGCTTTTCCTTCGAAACTTACGAACAGTTTTCTGATTTTCCCAGTGAAAACTAGCATAAAAAGAA